GCAGCTTTTAAGGGGGTGTGCCGCACCCCCTTAACTATATCAAAAAAACTATATCAAAAAAACATTTTTAGCGGACAGTATTTATATGAATCGATAGCCTAAACCTTGTAGATTCCATAAGACCATTTGGAGCCTGATTTGTCTTCTTAGCTCTAAGTAATATTTGGTGAAAGCACAGCGATCAAAAGCGAAAAATGGGAAAAACGAGATTTTGGTTGGCTTCTAATTCCACAGTTTGCAGGTCTTCTGAAGCGGGATTCCTGAGGTGGACAAAGAAGGAGTAGTGCTTTGTCTTGAGTGCAAAAACGGATAGCTAATTCATCTTTGAAACAAAGTTAATCATGTTGGAAAATGACCATTTCACTTGAGTAGCCTAGTATCTTGAATCTTCAGAATTCGCTCATACTTTGTCTACAGGGGTCGGTTGACATGCTAATTATGAATATGATACGAATATCATGTTATCGCTATTATCAGATAACCCAACTACGACCCCCTCCCCTTTTGACTCCTCAATACGACCCCCCAGGTGTGGCGTGCCGCACCCCACGGTTGACCCTGGTCATGGCTGAGTAAGTCAATCAACAGAATTGCACCTTCAAATAGCGCTTATATATTAGGTCGTTCCGAAAATAATGTCGCTTTTTTCAACGAACGCTACATTTCGTGGTAGCAAGGTTTTTAGGAGATCTTCGTAGCATTCGATGCAGCATTTCATTCTCTTTCCAATGGCTATGATTCCACTGCAGAATACTCGATGAAGTTTTGAAAATTACTAAAATCTCCAACCCATGCTTTTTGGGAAGGTCAAGTTTCACAATTTTTCTAATTTTTTGTAATAAATCCCAGAAGGAGTCCAAGTAATGGATGGATAGAGCAAACCCTATAAGAAACGGTGCCATTTTTTCCTACTCTCCGTATCTCGTCATAATTTTTGTAGAGATTTTTCAATGAAGTCACCGACTTTTGCAGGTTTATCTCAAACACATATGCATCACACACCAATAAACTTTCGTATTCTGAAACTTACAAAGGTGGATTATGGTTTAACACTAATTTTACAAAGCATATGGACATTTACCGCTTTAGATTAGCAACTTTCGAAAATTCAGGGTACAGCCTGGGGCGCCTTAGAAAACCTGATTTATGATGATTTTACCCCGAAAACTTGATGAATCGGAAACAAAAAACAAGTGGTAGAAAGAGGAGAAGAAGCTGCGTCGAATGACACCCGAGTTGCTTGCCGGTTGTTGTTCTGTGAGGTCTGAGTTGACCTAATATGGAATTTGACAGCACTGAAAAATTGGTTCTACAAACTCTAAGAAGCAAACTAAGGAAAAGGAAAAATTTGCTTTGTGTCTTATAGGGTTTGCTCTATTTACCTGTTACTTGTACATCTTCGGGGAATCAGTACAAAAATATAGAAAAAAATAGCCGAACTAGACCATGACAAAAAGCATGAGTCGCAGGTTTTGGTAATTTTTTGAGAGCTCATTGAATATTGTGCAATGACTTTACAACCATTAGAAAGAGGACGAAATTCTGCATCGAATAATCCCAAGAGCTCTTGAAAATCTTGGTTTCACGAAATGTGGCGTTCATTTGAAAAAAGCGACATTACTTTTGGAACGACCTAATAAAAACATAATACACAAGGTGGTGGCCTGGCCATGGCTGTTACTAGCTATTTTCTACATTATCTGCACTTTCATGTGGGGCAATTAGAGACCTTTCTCCGTGTTGAATACCTCAAATTTCGTCGGTATATTCCATGATGGTGCGGTCAGTACTTGCCAGTGGAAGCGATGTTCATAAAAGCCATGCGACACCACTTTTGTTGATCCCGGTAGGTTTCGGGTGGAAAGTTTGATTTGTAGCATTCATTGGATGACGGTGATTAGTCATGACGTCGCAACATATTTGTGAGATAAAGTAGTTGGTTAGGGTCGTCCGGCGTGAACATGCCAACTTTGATTTGTTCAACTATCTAAACCAGCCAGTGATTGAACAATGAAACAAACAATCCATAAGCGACTCCAAGAAAGTGCAGTTCTAAATGATTTGATCGGGAAAGATAATGAATGGATACACACAAATAAACAGAATGGACCTGTTCCAGATCTGGACTTTTGTTGACAAAGACATCTGCTTGTATCCACGTCTCTGAAATTCTTCAACCTAAAAAATTACCCCTTTAGTGGTTCAAAACTTCATGTTTGCAAAATTTACCTCCTTGACGTTCATTCCGAAAATGAAAATGTTTTCCATATTCTTTTCTTCGGTCAACTGTTTGCAGTGCCTACATTAACTCAAATTAACTTTTTAAAATGACCAGATTCACAAACTGAGGATATCTTTACTCCTGCATTTATATTCTAAGTTTCCAGTTACATCAACGGTCGAGTGATTTGCATTGCGTTCGCTTTTTTAACGCACGACCCTTATTCCGGTTCTTGAGCCGGGAATCAATTGCAGTGGTCACAACATCCATATAAAAAATGGATGACAGGAGTCCCATTTGCTTAAAAAGCTGTCCAGTTCGCTTACTTTTCTTAAGCGGTATCAATCAAGCGTTTTGCACAGATTAGCCGATTAATGCCCCAAAAAAGCCATAAGAATTCCTAACATCATTGACGTCAACGAATATACAGCGAAAAACCAGTTTTCATGTCTAGAAAAAACACAACAATCAACGCTTGAATTACCTTTGTATGAAGCTGAATGCTGAGTGCTGTGTTTGCTTAAGAGTCAAGTCGTGGGAAGCACCCAGATAATGAGTTCTTGACTGTATGTTCAACAAAGAAATTGTCTTCGTAATTTGATATTGAAAAGCATAATTTTTTCTTGTTACAAAACTGCTCATTTTCTAAACGAGATCAAGCTTACGTACGGGTTGATAAGGTGACGGGTATCAAAAATTAGCCTGTCATAACTACTTTTGGCGACTCTTACAATTATTTATTCCGCAGATAGAAATAATGTTTGCCAAACAATTGTGGCAAATTGGCATTTGTTTTGTTCTCTTACTTCTCGCATTCTTTCGAAAATTTCACTGACAAAACATTAGACTTCCTGCAGATCTGTTCACCCATGTCATTTGCTTTAGCTTTTTTTAAATTTGAGGGTTGTGTGATGCGAATTGCTTTTGCTGAATGACTTTTATAGAGGTAGTTCCTGTGAAAAATTTCGTTCGAGGAAGCTGGCATCACCGCTTTTCTTTTCTTGCGAAACTTTTCTTGTACTAGTGCCTGTCGCTTTCTGACTGTAGTTTTAGTCCTCTGTGCTTCATTCTCAACATTTGGGGCCATTTCTGCGTTCATCAATAGGTGGTACCTGGACCCATACAAAACCCAAACTCTTGTTTTACAGAAATTGTTCTACGTAATTCTCAACATTTTTCGTCTCGCTTCCCAAACTTTGTGCGAAATTGATTCTCTAAATATTCTACTGATGTAGCTAATTTTTCGTTTTCCACTACTACAACATAAAGCATGCAGAAATGCATTCACACTTTTGATACTTGATATCTGATATTTTTAATTATAGAATAGCATCAATTGTTTTTTGAAAACGAACTTGCAACATATCCACTAGTGGAAGATGTTGTGCAGACAACAAATTTTGCTCTTCCTTGGCAGATTATGTCCTAGCAAGGAAACAAAAAACAATTTGATAAAGATCAGACAAAGTGGATTCGAGCTAGAAACCGTTGAAGTGCATTGAGTCATCTTGAGGCCTTCATAACGACAATTTATCATAAGTCTTGTATCTCTTTGTATACAGATTTGATATCAAAAAAAAATTTCATTTCGCAACATTGCCAAACAGTTGGGCTAGCTAACTGGTTTTTGTTAGAAGAAAATACAGAGGGAGACAGTAAGAGATAAATAGTTCATTTTTCTCTACTTTTCACATGATGAGAGACAAAAAATGAAGTTTACCTTTAGAGCATAAATGTCATCAAGACCGACATTTCAGTGTTCGCAAAAAGCTTTGAACTTTGTTTTCTCAAAAATTTTCCATTCAGAACAAAGACGACTTCAGCGAACATCGAATTCGAGAAAATATGACGCAACGCGCACGAAAAGTCATTGCCGTACAAGAAGAGAATCACGAAATTGCGCAAAAGGAAAAAGAGTTAGAACTGGCGCGGACAATCAAATGACAGCAACCGGGAAATTCAAAAACTCAAAGAAGAAAGAGCGCGGGTGAAGCAGCGAAAGAAAGAAGAATGAAAGAATTTTGAAGGAGCAGGCGATCGAGCAAGCCAGGATTAATGCTGCTCGAGCGCAACGAAAACGAATGCGAGGGGTGGGAGCAGAGCTGGAAATTGATAGGAGCGAAAAGAGAAAAAGACCGGGTAAAATGCTAGCCGAGTTGGAAATACAGAAGCAGGAAGAAATTCGTAAGTTAGAGGAGGGGAAGGAAAGGCATCAACAGAAGTCGGAGGAGGAAACGAAGCGATTAGCAATAGCAAAAGGAAAAAAATTGTAAGAGGAACAAAGAAAACGCGAGGAAGAAAAATAGCGAAAGAAATGGTTGGAAGAGAAACGGCTGAGGGTCGCCCGAGAATGAGAAGAGGAGCGCAAAAGGATAGAGCACCAGAAAAACAAAGAAAGAAGCATGAAGAAGACGAATAGAGGAGTTAAAGGGAAGAAGAGCGGAGTAGACAAAAAAAGAGGAAGATGAAAGGAAAATGAAAGAATTGGAAGAGAGGCAAAGAAGAAAAGGATTGGAGAAGGATCAAAGAAAGGGCCAAAGAAGCTAAACGTCACGAACAGAGAAGGAAAAAACTCAAATGCCGAGCCTAAAGGAGAAAACGCAAAAACTCGCACAAGTGTTCGACTCTACCCGACGGGTTCTAAAGAGCTTGTGTACAAAATTGCCAAACGTCATTAAAAGCTTTTGGCCAGATTTGCTTTGAAGGCGCAAAAAAAGGGTTCCAACCAAGAACATTCGCATATGAAAGGCGTTTTTAATGAAGGATGTGTGTTCCCAGGATGAGCTTGACAGAAGTTATGGCTCCTCCTTCTTCTGCAGGGAAAATGACTTTGATGGAGGGAATAGCATTGAAGAGCAGAATTCTGAGCAAGAAAGAAGTCAATCTGTTGATATCTACTTTAGCGGGGATCAACCGGTAAGGCTCCTCATAAAGATTTGCTCATCTCAGGTGTTGGATTCTTTTCAGGCGAAAAGAAGGAGAAAATTGGAGAGACGAAAGCTTCGAAAAAGAGCGCACGGAATTAATCTGTGAGTGCTGTGACAGAATAACGAATTATGGAAAAGAGTCTATGGAGAAGGGAAGGTGAGTAAGATCGTTGTTTAGAGACCTGTGATAAAAACAGCAACGGAGAACTCGGAACGACCTCGAAATTTCAACAGATTTCCCAGTCAATTTCAACCCACCGGTGGGTCGTACGTGTTATGCCATTTCGGACAATACCACCCACCGGTGGGTCGTAAGATTCATGAAGCGCTATCTTTGCCAGTTTACGACGGAATTCTACGGGGTTCTGACACGTGATTGGAGGGTACCTAGGTGAAGCTCCAGCCAGGGTGGCCCGGGCTTGGGATACTGTAATGCAAGGTTACGGGGGTATACGGTAGATAGATAGAAGGCACAGACAATTAGCGCAAATTCATCGCAAAATGATGCTGTTTTTGGAGAATCAAGTTTACATGTAAGAGTAATACGAGGCGGGCAAGAGGCTGACGTTAGTCCACCAAAAAATTGTCGATTTTATTGATTTTTGGCATTTTTTATCTTAGGAAGCTCGAACTTTGCATACATACTCCGACTTTCGTTGCGTACCAGCGGCGTTCGACTGTCCCCGTGAGCGCAACACGCAAACGCCGCTGGTAGGGCAGTCGCACGCCGCTGGTACGCTGTGGAACTCCGCTGGCAGGAGAATGGTACGCCGCTGGTACGCCAAGAGGGTACGCCTTCGGACCGCATGTTCACCCGATTTTTGATTACGTACTAATTGCAGCATTTTGGTTTGAAAATTGCTATATCGTCATATTTTATGAAGCCGAAATCAGCGCAAAATTTCCTGCTATTTCGATCGATGGACTTCATTGAATCGAAATCAGGGGATTGTGGGCCACCCCTACAACACCTAGCTGAGGTGTTATCAGGTCACTTAATGAGAACAACAACTCAATCTTATTCCTTTGTCAAGTGCTGAGAAGTGTTAGTAGCCACTAAAATGCTGAGGCGGCCCAACCACTGCGTCGTATCCCATGCGGGTACGGCTTACGCTTACAGCGTGGGGTAATGTGATGGGACGCCGCTCGCTTGGTTGGTTTGATGGAACGCCGCTCGCCAAAAGACGGTACGCCGCTGGTAGGGCGCATTGAGGAACGCCGTTGGTACGTTAAGCGCACTCCGCTGGTACGCAAAGCCATTTAGGTACGCCGCTGGTACGCAACGAAAGTCTGAGTAGGTTTTGTAGCATGCTGATTACGAAAATGATAGCCTCTAGTTTTGATACCACCTTCTTACATCAGTTTCTTGATTTTTGCGAAAATTCTATACTACTACCGTAGCCCCACTGTGAGACAGTAGTGAACAAAGTGGACACAGCACGTGAAACAACCCTAAAACACAATTTTTCGTGAAAATCCATGATGTTGGTTTCGTACAGGGTGACTACCGTAACCTTACCGTGTAACGCCATCAACTGAAATAAATTGTTTTTTGGTAATCTCTTCGATTACACCTCTGGAAAAATTTTCTGAGACGTTTTGAACTTTTCCCAGAAGGACTACCATCTCGGACAATACGACCCACAGGTGGGTCGTAATTTTAACGAAGCGAAAAAGGCTCTGGCGAAATGACAGTAATCAAATCGGCCTTGTCGCGAAAAAGGCTCTGGCGAAATGACAGTAATCAAATCGGCCTTGTCAAATCCCCCAAAGTCTCCTCATTCATTATACAAAAATATCATTTTTGTCAGCTCGAATGAACAAAATTTCCAGCAAACCTCATATGAGTGCCCCAAAAAATGTGCACACTGTTTGACCGTTGATAACTCTCTTACATTGATCTTTTGCTGATCTTTAGCTACCATTCTGTAGTGCTGGCTTCAACTTAGACTTTCAGTATGAAGTGAGTTACCGGTCTTTCATTACTGTAGATTAAGGTTTTCAGGCTATGGGGGGGGGCATACTTCGCCTCTGAATAAAACCACGTAAGCCAGAAACTCTTACGTTAGTCTAGTGAAGGTTGGATTTTGAGTATGAAGTTTTCCCCTCACCATGACGCATTTTTCTTGAGTTAAGCCAACTAATCCTCAGCATTTGTCAGAAATGTTACTACACCGTCAGAAATGCTGGGAGCACTCGTAAAAAGTTGTGTAATGGAACCAGCATGCTTGAAAACCCTGGTACACAATTTTTCATACTTTTTGAAAACATCCTGTCAGACGGCTTATGTATTTCACAATGGTTCCATTGCTGGAACTTCCTACCGTAATCCTACAGTAATGAAGAGTGATCGGCGACTCGCTTCATACTGAAAGTCTAAGTTGCCAGCACTACAAAATGGCGTCTAAAGGTCAGCGAAAGACGTCAAAGCAAGGGAACTGTTAACCATCAAACAGTCTGCACATTTTTGAGACGCCCTGTATTTTCAACAACCTCCTCCCGCAACTGCATTGATTTTTTTTTCTTTTTTCCAAAGTAGATGTATAAATTTCAAAGGATAGCGCAGCTTCCACTCCTTGGAGGATGGACAGATTCTGTAGAAACAGACAAGGTTAGTCAGATTTTCGGCTATGATTCAATTATTGATTAATGATACATGTTATTCAGCATTACCCTCAAATTTCTCCTACTACTACATCGATGCCAAAAACACTAGCAGTTTTTGTTCAACCTATTCTCAAGTTAGTATGCTGTTTATAGAGCAGTGTTAAGCCTGCAAAATTTTCACCAGTATTTCGTGCAAAATTGGTACAAATGTCCGCAGCTGATCGATTTAACCCAGTGACTTAAAATCCAATTTTCTTTCGTTGATGCTCAAAACGAAGCAGACATTTGCACTTCAGTTATGAAAATGTGACTGCAATGTTATGTTCGACATTTGCAGATTTGGGTTCGAAAAGAATTCTGGTAGCTTTCTTTATTCGCCTCTACTTTTAAACAAAGATTTTTTACTTGCTGTGATCAGATTTATTTGAGTAAACAGCTTGTTCAGAAATCGAGTAGTACTTGATATGGCTATGCGATCAGAAGTTTTTCGCAAGCACTTTGAAAGCAGAAGTACAAATTATCAAAAAAAAAAGCTTTTTTTTCTTATTATCTTGTGGTCTCCATAAATCGCCTGTTGGTGCTACTGATACCAACGTATCTGCATTAGGTAGGTAGAGGCCTATTCAAACAATTTTTCAGAAAGTCCACAGCGTCCGCAGCATTGAATATCCCCCAAAATGACGTCTTCTCCCATGATTTTGAAAGCAAGTAAGATAAGGTTAAATGATTCCTTAGCTTCATACCAAGTTCTCCAGACATAATGCAGCTTTAAACTCTCGATTTCCATTGCAAATTTATATCGAAGGTTGGATAAAAACCGTCGTAATCAGTAGACATCTACCTACCTAATGCATATGCGCTGGTTTCAGCAGCACCAACAGGCGATCTAGGGAGACCAAAGAATAAATTGAAAAAAAATCTTTGGTAATTTATAACTTTTGAAAAAGTGCTTAAAGGGGAACTTCTAACTGCATAGCCATAAGTCGGTACTACACGAACAGCTAAGAATTTTTGCAAATAATCGGCCTTTTCTACGGGCTGCGACCTTCCAAAGTTTTTGATTTTTCATATTTACCATGAATAAGCTCTGGGAGGTACTACGTCAAGCACCTGGCCTGCTCACAAAGGCCAATGTCATACATGTGCAATTAGTCGACCAGACAAAGTTCTGTTGCGAAAGCAAGAATATATAAATCTGTATAAGTGCAAACACGCTCATCTGACTTCATTGCCGCGGCCATATCTTCGAAAGCCTAAAGATGGCATTTTAAAGTGACAGTTCTTCAAGTGATAGTTCTTACATTGTATGAAGCGATGTTCGTCTGAACAAAAACAGAGAGGAGGAGAGAGATGTACTAGGCTGTTGCATAAGTTCTGTCCGATTTGAATTTTTGAGTTTAAAATGTCATAACTTCTTTCAGAGTCAACTTTTTTCCAAGGTCTTAGTTTCTATGTGTTGAGCAGTCCCTTGGCTAAAAAATGCATATTGAGATCTGCGCAAATCTTTGTTAAGGAAGAACCAAGAATGCAAAAACTTCGCAGCGTTTTTCTTCGAATCTGTCTTTTTTGACATGGTAACGCTCCCTTATGAAAATTGATAGGCATCTTTTCTAATAATGGATGGATAGAGAAATTTTCGTAGATTATTATGCAACATAAAAGAGCCCATAGGGTTTGCGCTGCCGAGAGATTTTCTTGACCGAACAAAAAATTAGCCACTTTTTGACCTCGCTTCAGCACATGTGTGCATGCCTATTTATGAACTACGAACGTTTTACAACTGACGTGAGCGCCGAAAAGGAATTGGTGGATGGGCCCTGTTAGCTCTTGCTTTGCCCTAGCACCTCCAACTTTGAGCTTGTCGATTACTTCTATTCGCAGAAAGTTATTGCTTGTAAAACATCTATACCAAAGATTTATGTTCGAGGATAAATTTCACTAGCAAGACGTATTCTTCATGGGACCGAACTTCTGCATATACTAGCATTCCATACCCTTATTCCGAAGTCAATGAAAGAACCTGACTTGAAGGGCGCATTGTGGAGATATCCTCGCAAGGACATATTTCTAGGGATAGAACGTACCTCGGCCACTTAGAGATTTTAGGCCTGTGATCTCCGTACACTAAGAATTTTATTGGATTCTGGTATGCTTTAGAAAGCGCAAGGAAAGCACTTTTCAATGATACCAACCGTATCGAATTAGAGATGAAATTCTCTTAGAACAGCTGCTTCAAACATGAGGCAAAAAAATCGGACAGAACTTATGCAACAGCCTAGTACATTGAAGCAGAAAACACGAAAAATTATAATTACAAATTGCTTTTGAAATCTTTCTTTTGAGGTTCGAAACAATCTCAGGTCAGGATAGGTGGTCCAGCACTGGATGCGTTCTTGCTGAACTTTGTTTCCAATATTTGTCTAGCCACTACTCTAGAGCTGGAGTCAAGGACTTAAAACTTAGTGATCTATTGGAGGTGAAGGCATTGAATCAACTTCATTACTCTGTGTCTGGTATAAAGATAAGCACGCGTAATCGCTTTCTCGTGAATGGA